GTGAGATAATACTGAACCTAGTGGCAGTGACCCTTCCAGTAGGCATGTGAGATAATACTGAACCTAGTGGCAGTGACCCTTCCAGTAGGCATGTGAGACAATACTGAACCTAGTGGCAGTGACCCTTCCAGTAGGCATGTGAGACAATACTGAACCTAGTGGGCTTCTTCTACTGAACCTAGTGGGCTTCTTCTACTGAACCTAGTGGGCTTCTTCATAGAAGATGTATGAAACATTCCTACATACATTTCTTCTCATTTCCTGAGCTCAACTTATATCAGAGCAATTTACTAGGAAGAGGGCTGTAGGAGAGGTGCTTCCTATCACGCTCATCACTCACTGTTCCTGCTTCAGTGAGTGTGACAGTCATCCTCTTCTCCGCTGAAGCCCTGACACCTGTGATAGGCACACCTGTCACACTGCAGCCTTGTTACAGGCACTTTGAAATCCGGAGCGGCACAGATGCCGAACAGCCTCGCATTATATTCGCTGGACCCGTTCTCAGATTAGGAGGCAGAAGTCCTGAGCTTTCCAAGAACTCAAAGACGGATTACAAGAGCCCCATCAAAACAGCTTGAGGTCTGCACTTTATTGGGGACAGATAAAGCTCTTGTGCGGCTGCTATGGGCCATCCTCTTTGAGCTTACTTCACCAGCCCCACTTCTGAGGTGGCGTGTGGCGGCTTGTGAAGTCACCCCGCATGTCTCGGTGTCCTGTACTCCGTGTGCCTTTGCGCTAATCAGCGACACCTCATCCCACACCGAGTGATTTATGGGTGCGGGCTTGTGGTAACGCTTGATTACATAGGCATGGAGGTGCCATGGACTTATTTGAAGCTATGCTCTGCAATTTACAGAAATGAGAGAGGCTGTGCACAGTTCTACCACTATTTGTCATACACTTCTACATTACTATTTGCTTAGAGACTTACCTCGCAATCTAAAAAGAAGAAACTTTTGTTTTTGAAAAATGTTCCTCCCATAAATATGCACTAAATAATGCATTTTATTATGTAAATATACACTACTGCTTAAACACACCTGACATAGATATCCACATACATAACCTCACTAAGGCTAAGTAATAATGATAAGACCAATGACTTTTGGTACAAACCTGCTCCTTTGGTCAAAACGACTTTGGGCTTGCTGCGTGCGCCATCCCCTTTGGTGGTGTAGGCTGCCACGGTGATGGAGTAGGTGGTGTTGGGTTGCAGGCCCCCAATGATCATCTCCTAGGCAGCACAAAAAAAGCAGCTGTAACATTAAGGTTCAAATACATCACACATCCCAGCATCCTATCAGACCTACCACCAAGCCTTTCATTTACCCCGGTATTACACCATGGTTGTACTGACAGTTCTCCGATGAATTTATACAGACCATAAACAGTGGTTTAAGCTTATTATTTTCAGTTAAAGATGAATCATAATTGCATATGTACATCTGCACATATATTTGATGTCAAGAGTATCAGAAATTACAGCATTTTAAAGCAGTTTGGATCGAGCATGTTTCACTGGTGTGGCACTGCCCAGTGATAGGGGAATCAGCATGCCAGTGAGCTTCACGGCATGCTGGGTGTTAGCCCGTGCGGACACGTGGGTTCAGCGTGACAGCCCCGGTGGGTGGTGTCTCCTAGAAGAACCCGATTGCTGCCTCCCCCCTGAGCATGCATGTAACCGTGGAGAGCCAAGGAGGTCTCCCAGCATGCCGTGGGGGAGGCGGTCACAGTGCAATCCACATGCTCCCCCCTTCAGACCTCCCGAAGTGGAATGAGCCATCCTGTCACACCGTGAGGGATACGGCAAGCACACACACAAACACACCATACACACGGCACCACAACACATAACACACGGCAGTTGCTAGGCACACGGACCAGGTACTACATCCTCTACTGATGCATGTCTTTCTCTTCTTTAAGTACCCAGTCGTGCACAAGTCAGAGTAGCCTATATCCACTATGGGGGTTCCCTTTAGCAAAGGTTTTAAACTCACTAACTTAACATACCCATGTTGAGTACACAGTGTGCAGCTTGGCCATGACCTAGTTTAATAAAATACAGAAGAACACCTCCACACCCACCACAAGCGGGACTATCATGACTCGGGTGAAATGAACTGGGCTGATGCAATAACTGGTCCACATGCCAGCTGCTCTGAGCACGCTCCATACTCACATATTCAGCCGTTTCGTCCGTCTCCCACTTAACCCCCGCAACGAAGCATAGGGGAGCGATGGAAAAAGAAAGGGAAGAGCACAGCATGAGAGGAAGTGCTGGGTGGAGGGGGTGGCGGGGGCACTATGAAAGTCAGAGACTGGGGGGAAGAGGAGGAGGAAACAGGAGCAGGTCAACTGATTCTGACAGAACAGGAAAAGGACACGGCGGTCACTAGGGACTCGTTTGCAGACAGAAAAAGTTTTCCATTGGTTAATCAAACATTCGAGCAGGAGGCAGAAATTGAAACGGAACAGGTGTCACATCTCGGGAGACTCCCCTTAATTCTGTCTTGTTTGTTTTTCTCTCTCAGCTTAGTCATAAACCAAGAAATGCCAGAGCAAAACTTTGCTAAATAAAAAGGGCATCTCTCTCGTATGAGGCAGAGTGCTGGTGTGTCTTTGCATGAGGACCTGGAAAAAGGGAGTGTGTGCAGGGATCGTGTCTGAGAAAAGGCACTGTTTGTATCCCAGGAAGTTCCACTCTTTCCCTTTTTGTTTTGACTTTCGTTTGTTCATGTTCGTTCAATGGATATAGCACGAAGTGGTGCTATTTCAGCCTTGAGAGAAAACTTTATGTTAATAACACTTCTCCTTTAGTTCTGTTGATATAAGCTTTGCTAACAGAACTCTGGAATCCTAATGCATCCATTATTCACTTTGGCAGGAAGTTTGGTGAATCGCTTCATGAAATTAGCCCGCCTTGTAAGTCTACATTTTGTGCACTTATCCATTGTGCCGCTCATAGTTGATGGCATGGAAATGATCTTTTACAAGGTCATCAGAGACAAGAATTTACACACTGGCATTTCAAGCTTTCAAGTGGTATCATGGTTTTGATGTCACATACATTTGGCTGAAGTTGGAGATCCTCATAATCAAAAGCTAGCAGGGATGGGGTGAATCTCAATATGAATACTTAACCATACTTGTGTTCTCGTGTACCCATTTTACATCATCTTCCAACACCGAAGACCAGTTCCAATATTAAGAACACAAGTACAGAGGACGGTAAAAATCCCCAGATGTTGGTCCTGCTCCACCCCAGATATCAAGGATAAATTGGTTGCAAGCTCATCAAACGAGACCAATCCAAGATTGTTCACGGAAGGCAAGTTAGTAAGACAGGTCTTGCCAAGACCACAAGTACGATCTTTGCATTCTTGGTATTGTGAGTCATTTACGAATTCAGGTGGGGCAGAGTCAACCTTTGACCCGGAAGAGCTCACCTGGGCGTCAGCCAGCATGACGTCCTTGATGCGCGGGAGGCTCCGCGGGAGGCTGCGCGAGTCGTCATTATCCACACGGACATAGTGCACTTGGTAGCCCCGGATCTGGCCGTGTTGCCGTCCCGGCACTAGGGAGCGCCACATCACCTTCACTGCCGTGGAGTTGAGCACTTCCACCTCAACACGGCGCGGGGGCGCCCCGGGGACTGCAGAAACGGGAGGGGGCTGTTATTTATTTACATAATACAGACACTGAGGACAGGCATGTATCTGAACATGACACAGGATTTTATATATATCAAAACAAGAAACATCAGCTTATACGTAATATAAAAATATAATAGATAAAATATAATAATGCGAAAACCAGACGTAGCCTCACTTCAGACCTTGCTCTTAGCTCTTGGATCTAACCAACCCAGCATCAACTTCTGGTGCCCCAATAGTTTTGATAAACACAGAATGTGTCACTTAAAAGAGATTTTCCAAGGAAAAAATCCCCAGTGTGGAGGAACTCAAAATATTTAGTTAAAAGACTTTCCCTAACCCAAACACAAGGCCCGACCGTGGCACTACAAGAACATCAGCTCCCTTTGTATGCAGTTCTTTCTATGGTTTTTCCTGACTGAACAACATCCTGATACTCATATTTAGACCCTGTACTGATAAACCAGTTCCCAAAAATTTGGATGATCTGTTATCTCCCTAACAGGTATGATTCTAGGATTTTTTTTAAGGTGGGGTATTCGAGAAGGCCCATAATTCATACAGAGGAGCCAACTTTATCGTTAACCAGTAGCCGCTTTCACGCAAAAGTTTTGGAACCTGGCCTCTGGTTACAAGCCTCAACCTTGAAACTCTCGGGCACTGTTGTTGCTTTCACACCATACAGCAGAACTGAGACCTTTATGTTAGATAAGCATGGGAGACGCAATAAGCTTGTATGTTAAACTTCACACATAATTTGAAACTACACTGCCACCCCAAGAACAATGGAGAATGAGCAAGTTGTTTTGTTAAGCTATTTGTTAGTTATTAGGGGGGAGCGGCCAGAATCAAAATGGGACACAACCTTTTATTTACATTTTATTCAAACAACCCGCGACATATATTTCATTAGTAAATCTGGCTGGCAGATCGATCTTTGGGTTTCACAGAATTGAGAAATGGTATAACGTATTCCGCTAATAAGAGCTGGCAAGTTTCACCAGCACCAGCGATATTAAACAAAAGTATATTAGCTATCGACAGAATTTTCTGATGCCTCCGAAGAACTATAATTGAGTTCCTACAGTGTAAACGCAATGAAAGTTTCTGGTTTGGTTCCTGAAAAAAGTTCCTATGGTGTAAAATATAAATATAAAAATATATAAATGAAAGGCTGTGCTGCATTTTGATCACGATCGATCCCCCCAGTAACTAACAAATAACTAACAAAAGGAGTTATTGACCCTCCGTTGTTTTGGTGTAGTTTCGTATGAAATGGAACGTTCAGTTTAACCTAAAACCTTTTTTGCGTCTCCCATGGTTACTTAAAGTTCCCACTTCCTGTTCTGCAGTGTGAAAGCAACAAGAGCTGCCAGGAGCTGCAAAAGTTCTAGCCCAGGGACCATGTTCTGGAACTTGGAACGGTGTGAAAGCGCCTATTAACCAATGACATGTTTTGAATTAGTAAGTGACAGGGGAGGGGGCACTCTGGGGACCAATCAGCTTTTTACCTGGTACAGGTGTCACTATGGCCCAGACCCTATATACACCCCTGCTCCCTAATTGCCACTATGTAATGTATCATTGGTTGTTTTTATCTGAAATCTGCAGATAATATTATTATTTTTATAAAATTAATATAAAATGTTATATTAAAAAACCATGTACGTTTCCCAGGTACAGGGACGTCGTTGACACCTGGGTTGGGTGTTAATACCACCCAGTGATTTGCCTTCTCAAGTGGGAGGAGCTACAGGGTGGGACATACCATCCTCATCTGTGCGACACAGCAGGGGGGGGCTCTCCGGTCCGGGTCCCTTGTTGGTGAATGCGGCCACAGTGACTTCATACTGGGTCCACTTCTCCAGCCCTTGTAGCAGGAGTTGTCCCTCGGTGGGGGGCACTGGGGGCTCCTCGGTGGGCTCGCCGCCAGCTTCGGCCCCCGCCACCCGGTGGCGGACTGTGTACCCAGCCAGGGCGCCATTCTGGCTCTCCTTGGGGGGAGGCTGCCAACTTACCAGCAAAGTGGTGGAGCTGGAACTGCTGCACTTAATGTCTTGGGGGGGGGCGGAGGGCTCTGAAGGGTGAAAACAAAAAACAAAAAGATGGGAGAGATAAAGAAAATGATAAACGCAAACAAAACAAAACAAAAAAAACAAACGAAAAGACAAAAAAACAAAGCTGGACTTAAAGAACAAATGCATGAGGAACTCGGAAAATAATTTCAAAACAAACAATAGTGATATAGCGCTCATAATAATGATAATGAAAAGCCTGCCTCGAGTTTTTCGCTCCTTACCCAGGTGCACGTCACCACGCCGTATTAACATTGCTGGGAGACAAAACAGCAAAAGTGCCTATTGACCCAGAATGGACAACCTAATTAAAGCCAAACAGGCTGTGAAATCAATATTAAGCGCTTGGCTCTCACCTGTCTGGTCTTGCCCACCAAGGCCTGATAATTGATTTATGGAAAAGCACCCAGAAATGGATTCAGTCATCCACCTCTGGCTAGGGTGGAGATCCATCTCAGCCAGAACCGCTGGCTTTTCCCAGTCCTTTCATCACGAGGCAAGGCACGGTGGGCCCCACTTATTTGTAATTGTTTAAAAGTCATTGGGCATGGTTTGCTGAGTTTTTACTGGAGAGTGCTCTTCCAAAAAAACACATTACCAGCAGGAGCCCGAATGGGTTCTCGTACAGCCTTGGGTTTAACCATGGGGCTGCCCGCCCGTGGGTATAGTTGACTTTGCCATTTAGTCAGATTTTTAAATTCAAAAGATATGCTTATTTGCGTGTGAAACTGCTAATCTACCAATCCTAGCTATCTACAAAGGAAAAGTAACTTTCATATGACTTTTTCCCCACCCCATATGGGCCTCATATCTAAACAAAAAATTGTTTGTTCTATGCCATTTGCAAATATTAACCATTGCTGACTGCCACTTATTTTCAATTCATTATTATGACGTTTAATCTTTGATGAGAATACGAGAATGCAAAATAAATCAAATGGGTACTGGAGGCATTCCGTCGGGAAACATCAGACTGCAGCTTCAAATAAACTGGAAAAATAAAATATTGCAAGCTGTATCTTCAAAACAAATTATTAAATACGTATAACTTAAAACATGGACTGCTTAATGAAAAATTGTTTGCTGGGCCAAAAAAAAAAAAAAAAATCAGAGAAAGATCAGATACCATGGGAAATCATAAAACATGGGAATAACTTCTGCAATAAACGATAAATAAAATGCAATAAGAAAGCAATCGAGCAATCAACACAGTCATGGTCCGCGTCGATACGTACCTGTCCATCTTCTAATACATATACATAAGACTTTCTTACCAACAACCGCCAAGATCACAGGGAGAACACACTCCCTGAGTCGGGGGGGCAAAACCCTCGCCCCCACCTCAATTAAACTGTCAACTATACCATGTCTGGACCTTGAATGGGAGGGGCCATGCCAGATTAAAGAGCAGATGATTATGTTTTTGCTTCTTGCTTTTGTAGGGGGGTGGGGGGGGAGAGGGTTGGCCCACTGCTTCTGTTCAGGATTAAGAGCCACACTGGTCATTTGGGCCCAGGGTGACCACCCCCACGGAGGGCAGATGCTTGGATCGCGCCGGGAGACAGACCCCCTCCCCCCACCCTGTCTGGGACCATCAAAAGGCTGCCAAGAATCCCATTCAGCGGCTCATTCTGCCGCGTTTTTAACCACGACTGCCGGTGATATTATCTTTCCCTGTCTGCCTTTCATTTGGGGCATTTCAGTGCTTCACTGAAAGAGTTTATTCCCTTTTTTCGTCCCCCAGCGAACACAGGGCTCGAGGATGGAGCAGGTGTGTTTGTTTTAGGTAACCACTGCCGCCTGCGTTTTGGGCCTGGACGGCTGTTTCGTGTCTGTGATTTTGTGTCTGTCTGTCTGTCTGAGTGAGAGGCACTGGGCCACCAGCAGCAGACAACACTGGAGTCCAGTCTTGGCCATCTACGCTGAGCCGTCTCCAGTTAAGGCCCCTCCTCACACGTTTCTCCATACCCCGATAACAAGAAGGAGCCGTCTGCGGCCGTTTTGAAAAAACGCACCGCAAACTATAGGGTGTCATCTCTGGAATTACAAGGAGGGCTCCTTAAAGTATAGTCTTTTCTTCTAATGACTACTTCTGCCTGGCTCTCATCAAATATAATCACACCAACGAAGAGTCGGCTCCACAATGGGGTCCTACCCAGCACTGACGCGCAGAGACTCCGTCTGAGTCTTACTTACGAAGGCCGCGTCGGCTGCCGATTTGCATTTGAACGGTGCTAGCCAATTACATCCAACATACCTGCAGATGTAAATAAATGAAAATAAGAGGGCACCATCCCAGGGGTGTGATAGGAAAGCTGCACCTTTAAATTGAGGCCTTGTGCTCCTCGTGGCCGAGACGCAGATTCTCTGTGCACTTCCACCGCCACGGGATCCTCGGTGACGGAGGAAACGCCGCACGGCTCGTCGGCAAAGCGTGAAATGAATTTATCGCCACGGAATGGGATTCTTATCTGTTACTTCCACCCACATACCTCCCCCCCGCCACCCCTCCTCGTCTCCAGGCCTCCTGAACTGTCCAAGCATCTCCCCCCCCCCCCACAACCCACTGTTTAGGGGGTCTCTGGTGCGCGTGGGCGCCCTGGGCCGCCTGGGAAACCCTCAGCCGGGTGGCACGCGTCTGCAGGCAAGCTGCTGTCATGTGGGGCCACTGCCTGTAAAAGCCCAACAACGGGCCGTGACTGGTCATAACCCAGCAGGTCATGTGCAGGGGATGTACAGCACAAAAGGTGATCCACCAATCGAAATGAACACTGGGAATACCGGACCAATCAAACACCGTATCTACTCCAGTAATTCCCCGCATGGATTCTCTACGGCCCCCATGACAGCAGACCCACCCGGGCTCAGTCTCGTTATCTTGGCTTTCTACACAAGCTCAACATCAACATGTCTTGGGCCAAAAAACAGCTCAAACATTACAGCTCCAAAATTCACAACAAACGTAAAAGTCCAGAGTGCTGAGCAGGACAATAAGGCCTAAAATCCATTTCACTCCCACTCCTAATGATCGTTATCTTTTTTAAACCTCCATTTCAGTTTAAATACATCGGAGTGAACAGGAAGCAGATACTCTCTCGCTGGCACTTATCGAGTCCTTGTTAACGGCATCCTGAGCTCAGCGAGGGATCCGTCACACGGGCCGTGGTGGGATCTGCGCGAGGCACAGGACAGCAGCCGCCTCGCCACGTCGAAAGACAAAGCTAACTAACTTCTGTCATGTTCTAGGCTTGCATTTCATATCTGCCAGTCGGGCTTTAATTACCGCCGAACTGGTGCTGCTTTCCCTTCCAGCCGGTGCTGTCTTCACGGGACGGAAATACACTCGCGTCACGTGACGCGCTCAGAGCGCAGCGACTCGCCGCAAGCCTCTTGTCGTTTCTGCGGGGCTGCTGCTATTCACGCACAGCAGAATCCCCCTGCCCCCCCAAAAAAACTGCTCTATTCCTAAACAGGGATGTCTCAGTCGGCGTAAGCAAGCGCACAAAGCGCTTACTGCCATTCAAAGTATGTCAGACATGACAGCAGTAAATTATACGGGAAATCAGAGAGCGCCATTGGGTCGAGATCAGCCTCAGCAGACTGGACTTTCTGCGCACAGATTGTAAGCACTTACCTCCCAGGCATCCACACTAATTTTTAATTTTTTTTTTTGCTTTGTGTTTTTCGTATTTTGACTTTCCATGAATGGGTGACTTTCCCGACCTCGTTAACCTCCTGACATTTCAACTCCCCACAGGCAGGAGGAGGGACTCTGAAACTACCTCATGGAATGGGTCGTGCCTCCATGAACAGCTGGCTTCGGAGGGGCTGCTTGCTCTTTGCAAGAGAGGACTATAACTGGTCTCCACTGATACTTACTTTTACCTTTAGTTTAATGGACTGTTTTTTCCTGCAATGTTTTTGCTGAGTTCTGAGATGCTGCTGACTGTCACATCAGAACCGGCGGAGCCCAGAAAACATCGGAGTCTGTGTCCTTGTGAGATCTAAGCGGTGTGTGACTCATAAACCAAAGGAAGGAAGGGAAAATCAATAAAAAAAATATATATTTAAATATATATAATAATAAAATAAGAAATTAACTGAAAGCAACTGTGACGGCAAGCCATTCCAGGGAAAGTGGTTGTTTTTGTTGCGGTATAGGGGGTGAAAGAGTGAAAGAGTGAGGTCAAACAAAGAAGGACTTTGGGTTGAGCCAACCCCATTCCTCGTCCGAATGGTCTGCAGCTACCGCAACAAGGGGGAGACACAGAGACGCGAGTATGGGAGGACACGGACACACAGGCAGCGGACACACATGGAGACAACACGCATGGGAAGTGGCAGGCTGGCTGGTGACGGGCCACAGAGCTCCACAGGCCCGCAGCCGATTGGTGGGTCATGCAGCCGAAGCGATCTCATTGGCTCTCTGTGTACGCCTGATTGCAGGTAGAATGACCATGAACCAGAGTGCAAACGAAAAAAAATGTGATAAAAGTGAGTTCCTGCGCTGCCTTCCGGAACAGTGTCCAGTCGCGTCGGCAGGAACAGGAACGTGTTAGAGCGCCGCTTCCCCCAGCCCCAAACCCCTCTAACTGCCATGAATTTCCTTTTGACATCTGATTCATATTTAACAGGGGTTTCTTCTTCCACTGGGAAACCCCTCCCACCCAAGTGCCAAAAAAATTACTGACAGGCATCAAGCCTCTGTAACTGGCTGGCCAACCAATTGCTGCTGTGACTGACAGTCATATTTCACTAGGCCATCATCTGCACCCAATTTACTTCATTAGTCTCCTGATTAGACGTGTTGATGATGACTGACCCTCACAATGATAATCATCTTTTTTTTTGTCGTCTGCCGGACCTGCGTAAATGTCAATCAAGTGGCGTAAAATTGTATTTCTGTCATTTGCATCTCGATCGATGGGAGTCGTTTTTTTAAATGCGAAAATATTTCAATCTCAATGATATTTTATGCTCATATATTGAAAAACAAACAAGAAAATAAAATCAGGCCCAGATTTCAGGGACATCGTTACAGTCCCAGAGGAGGAGCTTAGGACTGGCTCTGATGGTTTTGTTCAACCCTACCATTAAAATTGTGTTTCTTTTTAGGAAGAGTACATTTTCTAATGCCTACTTCTGGCCAGCTTTCATCAAGTATAATCACACCAACGAGGAGACTATTCAGAAGCCCTGTCTTCGTTTGACATTTTTTGTGGACAAACATCTCTTATAAGAGTCTAAACTGTTCAGGGCTTTTCAGCTCAGCTCCTGGCCATAAATAGGATGACTTCTAATGACCTGTCCCCCCGCCCCCCCTTTTCACCTGTCGCCACCCCCCCCCGCCCACTACCAGGACGAGGAAACTCATGGCAGTCGCCGGAGTTATGACATTTCATTATGGCTTTACGATAAAGCAGAAAAGTGGTCTTGCTGTTGAAAAGAAACCAACAGAAAAAAAAACAGACCCAAACCAAAAGCTGGTGTTTGGATGAAACCTTGACATAGTCTTTAAAAAACTGTTACATTACCCGCTCGAGACACAAAAAGGTCGACAGGAATAAGCTTATAGAAAAATCACCAGGGTTATAAGACACCTAAAACCTCTCCATTCACAAAGAAACATGGAGCTATAATCCATTAAACTAAACAATACACTCGGCTTACTCTAATTCATCATCATCTAAACCTCTGCCTTGCAAAAAAAAAACGACATCATCAGTTGAGTCAGTATGCAGGCCATAGCTGCTTCACCATCGTGTATGACATGCATCGGTAATAGCTGTTAACGTGAAAATTATGTTATTAAGTTTAAAATCAAGGAAACATGAAATGCAATCTTTCTTCAGGAGCAGACGTGTTGGAAAGACAATTAACATACTTAAAAAGGCCTGCTTCTACGATCAATCTGTGTTACTCTTCCTATACGGGTGTCACAGACAATTTGAGTAACTGTACAAATTCTTGATCGTAGAATTCGATCAGGTAGCTGGTCAGAAACGAAACCACTTACTGGAAACTGAGCAGCATGGGACGTTTCATGTTGAGTAGGATGTTTACTCTGAGCAAATTATAGGCATCACCGTATAATTCAAAATCCAACACCTTTACTCTCGATCACCCCGCTCACGTTATTACCCAGCTGAAGAAGCAGAAAAATACAGAAAAGCACATACTGGCTTGAGACGTCTTCTGGACAATTTCGTTGGTGAAGGCACCAATGCCTTTGCTGGAGACGGCGGCGAGCGAGAAGGAGTACTCCGTGTTTGCTCGTAGACCCTCCACCACATACGAGGAGGTGGGACCAAATTGCTTTTTCATCTGCAACGCAAGGCGACATCACTGGACAGGATTCCTAATCACTGCTAACCACCCAAATCTAATATGGGCACCTGCATGGTACAGTAAGGTACAGGGACTAATACAGAATAAGAGGTAACGTCTGCATTTAGACATCACAAGGACATCAGGACAAAATCTGCAGCAATGCAATAGTCAAAAGTCAACAGTCACTTAGGAATGTAATTACGACAAGGAGGACTGCTTATGTGGCACGGTACCTGGGTGCCAGACTTGCCCTCTTTGTAAACCAGCTCATAGCTGATGATGCCCTCCTTATCGTAGGCAGGCTCCCAGGTCAACTCCACGCTCGTCTCCGTCACTCTGCCCACTTGAAACTTGGTGGGCTGACCCGGAACTGTAGCGGACCACAAAAGAAGCAACTGGATTGTCGTTTGGACTTCGATAATTAACGCGCAAAGTCGGAAAAGCTGACGGGCTTGGTAGATTAGCAGGGCTTCTAAAGAGGCAGACTGACAGAGAGTGAGAAGCATCAGATCTTCACAGCTTCAGGTGGACTCTTACCTCCCTGCAGCACCTTGACGTGTATGGGCTCAGAGAAAGGACCGTCACCCACAGAGGTGAAGGCCAGGACGCGGATGGTGTATGTTTCGGATTGGGTGAGGCTCTGCACAGTCGTCATAAAACTCTGCTGCACGTTGTGGATATGCCACTGGCTCATAGGTAGAGATGGGTCCATAGTATAGTAGACCCGGTACCCCTTGATCTGTCCGTTGGGCTCCTCTGGGTCGTCCCAGCGTACCATCATAGTGTTCTGGGAAATAATACGGGCATGGACATTCCGGGGTGGGCTAGCGGGGGCTTGTTCTCCTGTCCGAGCCTCCACTGGATTGCTGGGTGGGCCCTGTCCAATGGCGTTGAAGGCCGACACCCGTATCTCGTACTCAGTGTTGGGGTAGAGGCCCCCGATGCTGTAGCGCGTGGTGGTGATGCCATCCTTAGTCTCGAATTTGCTGTCAGGGGCCTTAGCGCGGTACTGGATGATGTAGTAAGAGACGGGATCGGGGTTCCCCGAGTCCCAGGTGATGGTGATGCTGGTCGCTGTGGTTTCTGTAACCACTGGAGTGCCTGGGGGCTTCGGCAGCGCTGTCGTCGAGAACAGAGAAAAGTAGTAAACAGGAAGTAGAGAGCATTCGAGACTTTCTACAATTCCTTGGAATGGACACGTGGCAATATCCCGGTGTGTGTGTGGAGTTTGCATGCTTTTCTAATGTTTCTGGAAGTTTCTTTGAAGTATAATAGAGATATATACATATACATCCATTCCTCATTTAGCGACTACCCCAGTTAGCGACCGTTTGCAAGTACGACGGTAATAAAAAATACATTTTCTAACCGATGCCTGTATTTACGACCAAATTTTGCAGAATTAGAGATCTTTTAAATAAAATTTACGGGGTGTTGTTGAAACGTCCACTTCATGAGGGATTAAAGAAACTGAGTATGGAATGCTGAAGCAAACTCATAGGCACAGTCACGGTCACGCCTAAGCTACTGTGACTTTCACTTACTGACCATTTCACTTAACAACCTGCATAATACTAAGGCACCCCTAACCTCAACCCATAACAGACAGCCATCCTGAGCAAACAAAAGGCTATTTATCACCAAATTCTAAACAAACAGTACTGTACTGTGCATTCTGCATGTTAAATTGCCTTGACATTTCTTATCTAGATCTTTATATAATATACAAACCATCTAAGCTATGCCCCTATATGTACGAAGTTACGGCACGGAATAGTTTAAAAGTCGAATCTCGAAACGCAAGATTCCACGGTCACAAAGACATACCATGCAGATATAACATGCATTTATGCTAACAAATATCACGTATGACTAATGTTGATATTTAATGATTTTCTGTGATCCGAATCATTTTCAGTATTGTTTTTGGCTTACAAGTTGTGTGCGAGTTTCTGCAATCCTTCAGCAAGCTCCAAAAATATTCCTGTTTAATTGTTCACAGCCAACTCACGAATAACCAAAACTGCGAATGTAAAGGGATATATATATATATAAATATATATATATATATATATATATATATATATATATATATATATATACATACACACACACATACACACACACACACCCCACTGAAATGTTCTAAAGGACTACGTCAGCCGTCACAAACCGCCAGGGGCCCTGTCCCCATTAGCCCCGGTCCCCTTACACTTGACAATGATCTGGGCCACAGCCTCGATGATGCCCAGACTGCTCATGGCTACGCAGGTGTAGTTGGCCGACTCGCGCACGCTGTTGAGCTCCAGCACGTTGCGGCCTACAGGCATCTCGTCCTCCGGCGTGAGATCCTCGTCGTTCAGCATCCACTTGACGTAGGGCATCGGGGAGCCCACCGCCACGCAAGTGATATTGACGCTGCCGCCCGGCATGATCTCATGATTAGTGGGCAGGATTGAGAAACGAGGGGGCACACGCCGGACTGCAGGGGGCGACAGAGAGCAGAACAGAGAGAGGTAACAAAACAAGCGGATAAAAATGCGACCTTTACTAAACGGTAATGTTGAATCACCCGACAGCATCTGGTAAATGATAGCAATATAAAGCGAGTATGTGTAGTATTAAATTAAATTAAATCATGGTACAGGGCTAAACGAAAAGAGCTGCTTCACCAACAATAGAGATAAACTATGAAGCAACACTTCATAGCAACAAGGTTCCATTGACCAGTATTGGACCCATCACATCACAACTGAGAACACAAAAATCTATTAGCAGTTTCTCATCTTTTAAAATGTAACTGTTCACTCCTGTATATGACTAAACCTCATCCCAACCCTCATTAGACTATATGTTGTCATAAAAAGGACATTAGAGACAGATACCTAAAAAACAGACCCACCCAAAAATGACCCACAGCAAAACCAATACAGGGGCTTAATAAAGAGAAAGCAAGAATGTAAACAAAAACATAACCTTGTAAAAAACCTTTTGTCAAAACATACCCTTTTATGAGCTATATGAAAGTGTACAGCCTTCAGAGCTGGAAGCTTTGCTGTCTGACTACGGCCACGCTGCACTGTCAACCTACGGCTAAAGATGAGAAACTTTAATCTGATTTTTGTGGTTCAGGGTAGATCGAGTGGACGAAGCCTGTTTAGAATCTGACACGGTTCCATCGAGAGATGCAGCTATCATTTTCACAGACACCATGCAGAGGAGATCAAAGAAAAATACAGGAATGTGAACGACAAAAAAGAAAGGCAAGTTCGAGACTGCGATGCACGGTGGAATATAAGAGAGGGGTCGCTGGCATGCTCGAACAAATATGGTTAGAGAAAGAATGAAAGGCGCAGAAGATAAACCAGAAAGAAAAAAAAATGTGGTGAAATGAAGGAAAATGATGAGTTTGATTTTTATTGATTTATCGTTCATCCGATCAGTGTGACCCAATGTGATGTGAGCACAGTGCCACATTGTAGCCCTGCCAGACGTACGACTACATACATATATAGATAATAATAATGTCAAGCAAAAGAACTGAATTGTCAAAATGGCTAGAGATATAAAGCAATGACTGAAAATATCAAAATAATAATAAAAGAAACAGACTAAAGCGACGAAAAAGGAACAGCTTCGTGGGAGTAAAATGCTAGGTTTACGAAAGGTTTTGCATCTCCATGTCCGAAAGACGTGGATGCAGCTGCCAACCCTACACACAGGAGTAAAGGAGGGAATGCGATGGATGGAGCAGTGGCGGGGTCATGTAATTCATTGGCTTAGAGTTTGTTCAACTCTGAAGAGATCTTAGCTTCACCAGCAGAGATACTTACGTTATGTGTAATTAGGCGATAGTTAAGTCCTATTCTGAAGTAAAACCCCATTATTCCCAATTAGATGTGCTATTTAGAAAGGTGCTTAAGGCATGTAGATGTCAGCAAACTGGTTAATGTTTCAACAACTCAATTGGCCTCTATGGGTTTTCTGTGGGGTTGCTTTGGACAACTGAAGTGGAAGTGGCGAGGGAGGGGAGGAAATGTCACAGAAATTTGGAATATCGGTCTTTTCGGTATGGGGAGTCATCCTAGAGGCGTGATGACCTCATGGAATACTGCAGGAAGAGGAAAGGATGGAGACGGCCTACAGACAGACGGAATGCGTGGACAGACCAAAGACGAGAGACCAGATGGTGGTGGGGTGGGGGTGGGGGGGTGTTTTACAAGACCTAGGCAGCAAGACAGCACACTGGTGCACTGGGGACAGACAGACAGACTCGGAGTAGAGGACCTCGTGGACATGGGAGGGGGGATAAGAAGAGGAGGATATAAGATAAGAAAGAGGAAAGCAAAGTGGGATTCCAATTGGGCTAAAGGAAAAGCATGGTTCTCCAGGGGCTACAGGTCTCACACATCGAGGCTTGAAATCCAGGATCCACAGTCCCCCTCTCTTGGGGAAAAGGAAAGATAAGAAAAACTCATCATACGAGTGCTCTGACCCAAATGGGACTCACTACTTAATACCCAGTGAACCGGCTTACGTCTTAAAAATGAAAAGCAATGCTTCGCTAAAAACGGCAGCAGACACGTTAACAGCACATGCATGTTCAAGAATCTCCGACGCTTACGGCCAGCCGTCTACGGAAGCCGGTGCCCAGGCTTTGAGGGGTGTCAGGAAATCCAGAAAATAAATAAAACGAAAATCTGGAAGGTGTCAGAATAGGCGTTCTGACCAGCGAAGGTGAAAAGGGCTGCCCATTCGCCACAAAGACATGCATGAGTGTTTCTGTCCTGCCTTATGGAGTGACATAGAGATCGAAGGACACCTTGGACATGTAGAGAGAAACGTCTAGAACAAGTCACGTGAGCCCATACACGTATGCAATTCCCGGGTGCAAGACGGCAGAAGTCTTCAGGCAAACAAAGAGTCAAATGGAACTTAAGACCAATAACCCGATTTGTACCACGCTGCTTGTGCTTTTGCTGGAACATTTATTTTGGAGATCTTTTAAAATATATATTCCGGTACACGCAAATCACACCAGCACAACCTTTAGTTGCTCAGAATAGCTGGAGTAAACAGATTATTCTAACGATCATATAAATGACGGCCAATTGAATTGCAGCTGGAGCTGTGAATGGCAACGCAAGCATTTCCAGTTATAGATTGGTCAAGGCTGGTGGGCGGGGCTGCCAGCTTCAGAGGCTGAGCGAATTGGCTTTCATGGGGCAGGCTGACGTCTTCCTCTAGTGAACGCTCGTGATAAAGGAGGTAATCTGAACGGGTACCGCTCACACCTCAAACCACTAAAAACGACAATAAATATGGTGCTTCACAGGAATTATGAAGGCTATTATCATTGTACTGTGTATCAGGGACACATAATTCTGCCCTTACTAATCATGTTGAATTATTACACCTGTGGATATGCGTATTGGCTTGCCCTATTATTCCTGTGTGGGTCACTAATATATTGCCGCTGAAATGATGATGTGTTCATTTCCAACGCAGAGCAAAGAGACTGAAAATGGGTCCCCACTAGGACAGCGGAGGGGCCATCACAACGGGCCAGAAGATCCACCATATCTTACTGGAACCAAGGAAGCAGTTACCGATAAACGTTCCGCGATTTTGCCTGCGTTTTGCATTAACAGTGGTAGCTTTGCTTTTTTTCGCGTACGTTATAAAACTGGTAATTCCGGGTTTTGCGGTAAATACTGCTATAAGTGAAGTCCGAATCTGGACAGTGGAGGACAGCTGGACCCAGATGACCTGCCATCGTTTGAAATCACGTCGACCAAAATAATCAGCAGGTATGTCTGGTGAGAAAATAAAATAATAATAATAATAATAATAATAATAATAAATAATTAAATACCAGCCCGGCCTCCCTGTGGTCCACCCCACCCACAAAGAAAGACCTTTGGGTGGCAGTAAATACCATTTCAAGCCCCGGTGTGAAGACAGGCGACTCAACGGTCTTAACTGGCGTGGTGGAGAGCAGCGCCCCACTAAGTCTACGTGGTAAAGTTGCACCAAAACGGAGGGTAGAGGGCGGACATTATCGGCCATTTTGGAGAGGCAGCCAGAATGAGCCTGCACTGCCACAAAATGAAGGGGACAGCCAGAATAATGTGCAGCCTTTAGTGTCATCGTGAAGCTGAGGTTACACTCGGCACCCCCCGAGAAACAGCCGCCGTGTGCCATAGACTGGGACACCTTCGCTTTGCAACAGCGTTAATAATTATATTGCCAGAAATTTAAATCGTACAAAATCTCCAGTTCACTTTACTGTCTCCGACTTAGCAGTCATTGAAGTAAATTTGTCGCTGTCTTATTTAAACATGATGAGGCTGTCATAAAGCCTTATTATAGATATTATCGTATTTTCTATTTGTCGTTCAGCTCTCAACAAAATTACCCCGACTGAAAGGATCACTTGGGGTTATATTACACACAAAGGTGGATAGTTCAGGTTCAGAAAGTACAAATTCAGGCCAAGATTTTGTTTCAACCAACCAGTTGAAGACAAAGAGTCATAGGCACAAAGTACTCAACTGGTTGGTTGCAACAAGATCTTGGTCTGGATTTGTACTTTCTGAACCTGAACCTTGAACCTGATCACATGTAAGATGTTACCATGAGCCAAACTAGCTTTATAGTTCACGGAATGTGAATCCACATCAGCTTTGTCCGGGAAGGCGGGCAGGGTGTAACTCAGCTTTAGTTTGTCGACTTCACAAACAGACGCAGCACAAGTCATGCAGGCGGACGCCAAGGGGATCAGACCAAACATCACACAGACGAGCACAGACCTCCTGCACAGCAGCAGATATTAGGTTTCCCGCGAAATTGACTCACAAAAAATACACGTGTGTGTTCAGTAAGGAGCATCTTTGGCCAATGGGTGGGATGCTACATTACTTTAAGAGGAAAATGAAGAACATGATTCTGCTGGCCTCCTAGCTCCGCTTTCAAAGGTAGAAAGATATTCTACCATTTGGTCGCACAGCAGATTTTTATAAGCAGCTGATTTTTCTGAATATAAACTATATAAAGTTTCGTAACAGGGGGAAAACCCAACGTATGTTCTTGTCAGAATAATCCACCTTCACTGGGGAAAAGATGCAACAGGGTATTTTGCTGGTTAGTATGATGATAGGTTATATATGCATATAAAGTACATTTTGTCCCGCAGTTTACCTTTTCTCATCTATTTGTTTTTGTGGGTTGTTTGCACTATGGGTATTCTCTTCACAATTTATGCTCCTACGCTGCTGTATGCAAATCTCCCCCTGGGATCAATATGCATACAAGTATCTGTCCATCTGATGGCACTGGACCGGCAGCGTAAATCACATTTTAGCCGTTATCTCTGAGAAGAGTATTCCAGCCTGGAGGGTTCCGTAGCCATTCAGAAATGCTGTTTCGGTTCTGTTTTAATGGCGGGAATGAGACTGACTGTTGTCTAACCCAACAATGAGGCACTTGTTTAAAGTTCTGGAGCCACACAAAATGCTCCGGTTTGGTAAAACGGGCTGATTGTGCTTCGAGTTCCTACGAGGAACAAAGACTTGCCTGCATTCCTTAGACCTCGGCCCCGGAAAGTGAAGGCAGAGGTTATGTAGCAGGCCAAGCCAAAGCCCTGCCAGTCAGCTCAAGGTTCTCAGAGCGAGGCTGGGGGTGTCAACTTATCATCACCCCCAGATCACATGACTTTCAGACTCCGCCCCCCTTGGAGCTCTCCTCAGCTATCCACTCTTGGCTGGAATTACATTGTCACACTGTGCATCATATAGCATTGAGGACAATTCTACAGACACAGGAGTCATCCTGGCATTCTGGAATCACCCTCTGCAGACTGACATTTAACAGCAGTGCTGGAGGGACGCGCGTCAGCACAAAGCCGTGCCATAACAGACTAAATGACACATCAGATTAGAACCTGTCTTAGGTCAGAATACTCATCCCTCCTTCAAAGATCAATGGCAGGTATTTATTATACAGACAAATCTAGACTACGCTGCGACATACAATTTCACGGCAATATAATCCTCGTGTTAATGTCCCGTGTACAAAGCTGAACAACTACAGGCTATAAAATTTAATGTAGAAGCACTTATGAAATAAATGAAAAACGCAATTCGTGGGCTTAATGGATTTGCCATTTGACTAAAACCTTGATTTGGGTTTCACTTAATTTGGCATTTTCATTTATAAAAAAAAAGGGGTATTATCGTAAAGAAATTTCAAATAAAGTAGTTTCTTTTGGTCAATTTGACAGAGGTTATTACTTGCTTCGCATAAATGTCAAAATCTATTCAGATGCACACGGCCCTAATGGAACTGAATGAATAATACAGGAGTGACTGGGACCACTGTCTGGGAGAAAACGTGAAGCAGACATGGAGCAGAACAACCCCATTTAAGCCAGCGCTGGCTGGACCAAACGTCCAGCCCCTTGGTGCTGCATAAAAAAAAACGGCTCTGTGTCAATCTCATCAACGGTGCTGATGGTCACAAGCAAGCCCGGCTGATTCTTATTCGCCAAGATGGATCAATTTTTTAAAAGGATGACAAGAACAAGAACACTGAAATAAGGACATGTGTGGTTAGTATAATTTGTTTTTAGTGTTTTCAGCTTGTTTTGTGAGTCAAGAAGCATCGCAAAAGTCAGGGGAAAAGGAAGACAAGCACAGCCAATGAGCAAGCCAGCCAATGAGCAAGCCAGCCAATCACAGAGAGACATACTGGATATTTTATATATGCGTGTGTGTTTGTGTGTGTGTGTGTGTGTGTGTGTGTGTGCGCATGTGTGCGTGTGTATGTATGGACATAACACTGAAAATAAATGTGCGGATGTGTGTGTGTGTGTGTGTGTGTGTGTGAGAGAGAGAGTGTGTGTGATACACAGAAAAAAAAACACACAGATAATCATAACCACGTGTACACACTCAAAATAAGTTACTAAAGAGAATCCAGCCAATCACTAATTTCAGAGACGGTGATAAATCGACGCAAGGACGGTGAACAGGAGGAATCAAACAAATTGGGGAAACACGGGGACAACACCCAAAGGAATTCTCTATCAGGCATGCAGGCACAGTAACATTCTCCCATCATGCATCAAGCCTGTTATTTCCAAGTGCAGGGTTTCCATGGCAACGAGTGCAGAGAAGCCTTCGGAGCCAGGCAGTACGAGAGGATGCAGACCAGAAAAGGCCCCACAATGCAAACTCAAACGCAAACAAATCCCCAGTAGAACAGCTTCTTTCATCAATTTTTTCCCCCAAATCAAAATAAATTTGTAAATGAGTATTATTTCTATATTCATCCTGTTTATTGTTTAGTAAAAGGTATATATCTTTTCAATGTTCTCTTTTGTCATATATAATTATTCAGCTTTTTTTTCCCCAGTTATTTTATTTTTTGTTTCTTATGTGGGTAAAAAAAGTGAAAAAGAAAAAACACACCAACCTTCTCGAAGCTCTGAGGGATGTAAAGGGGTTGATGCAGAACACAATGACATGAGGAAAAGAGAAAATAGGGGAAACACAGAGAGAGTAAAAAAGGCCACCTCAAGGCTTCTAGCTGCTACATTTCTTGCTGGACATTTGTTGGTCCTTCGCTCTTTTTTTGCAACCAATAACATCTGGTTTTCAGAGACGTGCCTGTCCCAGTTACTCAGCTTGGGAGCAGGGAAAGTCTGACCCCATCCCACCCCCCTCTCAAACATCCCCTCCCCCCCCCCCACCCGCCCCCTCTTGCCGTGGCCATTATTCTTGATAAGTGTCGGCCACCATGTTCCAAAACAAATGATCATGTCTTTGCCACCTAAAAGAGGCTCCCATGGTGGCCAATTTGCTTTCACGACAGAGAAATAAATAAAACATAAAGTAAACAATAAACTGAAAGACCTCAAAAAAAGAGAGAGACAACAACCAACAGGCAATAAAACAGCAAGGTTTTGTTAAAATTAGCAGCTGAGGTTGTATAAAAGAACACAGCCCATTTGGGTGAATTCCAATCAATTCCAGTTTCATCATCATGTACCTTTGGTTCTTGCGTGGTATTGCTGATTTTGCTGTAGCTACTAATTTCAACTAAGTCCCAAATAAAATACATCTGGTTAAGAGACACTTAAATTGATTTCAGGACAAGGAAAAAAAAAAAAACGAGAGGTAACACAGATCCTTTGTCTAAACGCAAGGCTACACCACAGATTAGCCGCCAGTGATGCTGAACTTCACACTCGCCATAGACTTCAGTGTTTTCTTCAGAGGACTGCGAAAGGGCTCCCGTCCGTTAGCCCGGCACTGTGAGAGGCTGCCCGGAGGTCGCTTGTTAACCTGGGAACAAGCGACCCTTCTATAGGTGTGGGATTCGGCTCCCCTGTGGATCTTGCTTCGGAAGCTGCCTGGATCTCTGTCACGTCGGGCTCACACCGAATGTTCCTGAAGCGGATCCGACTTCACATTTCCCAGTTGGCTACATTTAAATTCAAAGCCAAGCCTCTTACACGGGCTGCATACTAATGCGAGGACACAAACGGTAAAGAAATCTCTGACCTATTGTCCAATAATGTGCCCGTTAATAATTAATTAGACGCAGATATGAAGCATACAAAGAGTGTATTTTTTGGACAGTTTTCCAGGTGTGGAATAATTGCATTCTTTTGCATATCATTCTCCAGCCAATCGAAATCCACCTTACTTTCAGCAAATTGTTGAACCAATCCAAGTAGCCCAAACAGCGGGGCTCCTCTTTCTCCGTGAATAACAAATGCCAGTCTGCTTTCTCCTGAGCTACTGCTTCAGCCACGGGGAATGAACGGCAGATAGCAACGTGGGACCTCGTTAGAAGGTGTTACATTTAGTTTGTTGGTCAAACATGCTATAAGTGACTGCTGGACAAACAACAGTTATATAATTAGTAGTGTTGAGTGGTTTAATTTTGTAGTGGGAGAGATGAGGCACCCCAGCGGCCGGTCGGTGTGCGTTAGCGAGCATTTACAGTCATTTATCGCCAATTTTCCCTCCAAAAGTTTAGTGGCATGGTGACTAACAGCACACAGTGAGCCACCACAAGCCTTGTGCCTCATGTCTCCCGTCACCAGGCTGAACGGACGACCGGGGAGTGATGCAGCACAAACAGCATAAGATCGCATGGAGACAAAGAAGTACGGTAATACAATACAGCAGGCAATGCACTGAGCTTTTGGGTACATTTATACTTAAGGTTACTGGAAACTACCAAGTGACCCAGACAATCGTCCTTAAACGCAAACAGAAGAGAGCATTTACACAGAATGTGAGAAACTGCCCACACTTGCTTTTGGGATCTTTGCGTCTCTTAGTCGCGTGGGGAGGCCCCGGAGGGGGGGCCCCAGAGGGAGGGCCCCAGTACCCGTGAGCTCCGTGTAGCTCCCTACCTCTCACGTATAGGTTGGCGGGGGAGGAGTAGCGAACGCCTTCTTTGTTGGATGCCACGCACTCGTACTTCCCCTGGTCCGTCTCCTCGCTGTTCTCTATCTGGAGGGCACCTGGGAGAGGGACAGAAATGTTGGGGGGGGGGGGGGGTACAGAGCTTGGTATTAGAGCCCTGGGAGTGATAGGAGTCCACGCTCAGGGGGGCGTGCCCACCATGACGACGTGACTACTGTACGATATCAGATGCGGGGGTCGCACGTTCTTCTGCGGGGGCCAGGTGGATGTGAATGGCAGCCTCTAGCAATGCATTCTCACAGCATGTGGCAGAAACACCACTGGATGGTTTATGGGTAAATGTCTGACGGGGAAAGTCAAAGACCTGGTGCAGCTAACGGCGACGGTGCGTAGGTTAGGATGGTGTGCCTGTGATCGGAAGGTTGCCGGTTCCAGTCCCTTCGGAGATGGTTTGACCCTGCTTTCAACTGGATGCTGTCTTGGATAAAAACGGCTGCTAAATAAATATACTATAACTTAGTGAAAGAGAGGTGTTTTGTCTACATATATGCTCAGTCCACTAAAGACGTACTTTACACAACACAGAATCTTGTTTATGTATACTTGCTCACACCACAAGACAATCAATTCCCTCTAACAAAAAAAAAAAAAACCCTCAAGTTGTCAGATAATTTCTCATTAGCGAGCCACGGGCATGGTAAGGTAATTAGGGGGATCCGGATTGTTTGGACCGGTGACAGATTGCTGCCTTCGCCTTGCGTACAGAGAGACTGCTGGCACTCATTAAGGCTCAGGCGGGGTGTGTCGACGCGCCGGCGTCTGGCGGACCTTCTGGCTTATCTCGTCCTTCCCCGCATCCTTGGCTAACAAGGCGTGTTGAGCCGCTCGCTGAGCATGCAGGTCGAGAGGGGACACCGATGGGCATCCAGCGAAACTCGGAGCTGCACGTACACACACAGGCCCACACACAGGCCCACACACATACACACGCTAAGCACAAACACAGCCTTTTTGCAGTATTCCTCTGGCACAGGTTAATCGTACACTTCATCGGTTAGATACCCAGGAATGCAGCTTGACTTATCATAGACCAAAGACCTTATCACCCAGCTCCCATCACCAGATGCACTTAGCTCAGACTAAATAAGCAAACTGTTCCTTACTGGCGATCTTTAGCATCCTTCCTCTGTGTAAATCTATTACCTTCCCCTACTCACCTGAAGTATCTCCTAACCCAATCTTATCGGAGACAACGTGTAACAGTGATAATTACACGCAGCCGCTGTGAACACTCTGCCTGGCATGGGGCAGCAGGCATGACTCACGTCTGATCCGCGCGCCCTGCCCCGAGACCCTGCGGGGAACGGAAACATTTGCCCGACAGATGTGGGCGGCTCAAAGTTTCATGGTGGGAGACGTGGGAGATCCTTTGATGTGCAGGCAGGTATGGGGGCGACTGAGAAGGGGGCCATGTGCACTTAGACGCCCCCTCCGGGTCAATTCAGGGGGGCCCAAGTTTGTGGGCTTGTGAAGTCACCCCCACAAACTGGCAGTGCGTGCCTTTAAACTCAGCGAGGAGCTGGACCGCTATATACTCTGGATGAGTATACTGTAAGTATCTCTAACTAGCTAAATGTTAATGCCGTCGAGTGGACAAATCACAAGATACTGCATCGGCACCAGTCTGAGTCAGCTTCTGCATCTCCATGGCGATCAGTCACCTGCCCCCATGCACACAATTAGCCCCATTAATTAGGGTCAGCTTGGTGCATTTAAGGGGTATATCAGAGAAGATCTGTAATAACAGCAGAAAAGGCCTCATGGACATTTGTAACATTTTCATTGTTCTGTGCTCCGTTTTTTTGCGAAGAAAGTTATTCCTTTCATTAAATCGTGTTGTCCAAGGCCTCCGTTCTGCCCCTGTGACAGCACCTCCACCCCTAAACGGCCTAATCAATATACCAATCAAAACCCTTCTGCAGCCACTGAATAATAGCCAGGCGCCCAGTGAATAGGAACTAATTTTGTCAGTTGATGGACTGATCTCTGCTGACTTCATTACATCCCGATAGCCACGAGCTACAAAAGTACGCAGAAAATGTTTAAGCTGTGGGATGGTGTCTGTTTCAAACTCCACTTTCCCTTCAGTGTATCAGCCCACACGGTGCCAGCTGGGATGGAGGACACGCAGCAAGCTACCATGAACCGTCTTAGTTACGCAGTGTATGCAGTGTACGCAGTTATGCAGTGTACGCAGTTATGCAGTGTACGCTCCCCACTCTTATTTTCTTGTGCATTGTCTAATTCTGCTAAGCCTGTGTAGCGAATATTCCAGTCTCTGTGTTCCTTCTGTCGCCTTTTTGCTTTGAGTTTCACGGTCTGGTCTCAGTCAGCTCCAGGAAGTGTCAGACTGTTTCTCTGTGTTTCTCTAATCCTCCTCTCTCTTACACATAGTTTATTTATTTTCCCTTTGAAGTGGGGAGGGATGTACATCAGCCTTTTCATCGCTGGACCATACCATCACTGTCCTTTAAGGCATTTATAATCCCCAGAGTGTGATAGTATGCAGGAATTCATCCTAAATAAATGCATGCCATATCCCTGCAATTGCTCCCTCAAGCCTGACCCCCCCCCCCCATATAAATTACAATTAGCTGTGTGTTGTATGTAATTGTGTTTTTACTACCCCATCTGGCCCCCATCTTGCCGAGACCTGCATGCTGTCAGGGAGGGCAGTTGGTCCCATTTTATTGGCTGGGCCAGTGCATTCCCAGTACCCCGACAGGCCTTGCTCCTGACTCCCAGTCTTCCCTATGCTGCTTTCCCATCACACTTAAATATGCAGTACCTAAAACGGGCTACGTCAAAAAATCTACTCGTGGGGGGGGGGTGGGGGGCATACATATTTGACCGGATGCTCTCACAGCGGCCAACGGTGGTGTTACACTACAACTCACAGAGCAACAGTGGCCTGGGGCGATGTTTAAAATAAGCAGGAAGAGACTGAGGCCTTGCAGCGGAACCACCTGCGGTAATGAAGAGACTCACATGTGTTATGAAGATATACGGCCCAGTCCATTACACGTCAGCGGGGGGGTGGAGTGGGGACACGATTCCACACGGCCCAGTCTATTACACGTCAGCGGGGGGGTGGGGACACGATTCCACACGGCCCAGTCCATTACACGTCAGCGGGGGGTGGGGTGGGGACACGGAAGGAAGCTTCTCCATGACATAATCAGCTGAATGACAAGAGATGACTCTGGTAATGGCACTGGTGGGAGAGGATTGGCTGGACGCTTTGCCTTATGGGAAATTTTAATGTCTCTTTATAGACGTCTTTCTCAGCCTGTTTCCCAGGGACTCCCACATGGCCCACACTCCCCCCTCCATCTTCCTTGCCAGACAGTCCACATTTTTGCTTACTGGGAGCTGGCAGGGAGCAGAAACGTGGAGCGTCTGGGGTCCCCGAGTACCCGTTTGAGAAACACTGCTTCAGAAGAGCCCCCTCAGCTGACCGCTCTTGCTTCACTTCCTTGGCTCAGAGACAAGAGAGAGTGAGGAGAGACAAACACTTTGTACCCGGTTAGAAATCAATCGTCATATGAGGGGACTGAAGCTGCTTGACTTCCAAATCCAGAGATACTTCACTAGCCAAATATAAATCAGCGGAGAAAGTCTGAGGTTTATTTTTTAAATTTTTTTTAGTGAATCCTGAGGCTAATATCTTTCAAAGTAGCAAAACAGCAATGCAAAAAATGTGGCCTTTCCCCTTTCAGGTGAACAGGCCTCACACACCCAGGTCACTTAGCGTGAATCAGAGTGTGGCATGAGCCCTGCGTGATCCATTACAACCTTATAATCTGCCACTATGTAGCAAACCACTTTGAGGAGAATTTGCCGCTTTCTCTCATTCATGGTTGGGAGCATCATTCACTCTATTCAGTGGGACACACATGCAGAGATGCCTGTGGGCCACACACACACAGCTTATTACACTGGATGACATAAATGCTGTCAGTCACGCGGTTGGCGATGAGCAACAGCATTCCGCTAAACCCACAACCTCCACAGCAGAATACAAAGGGGAGAAGCTGGATTCCTTTGCTGCTTGAAAAGTCCCTGATGCAAGATCTTTGTAGATCTCAGTGCCACAGAAACCATTTCCACTTTGGGGGAAACGTTGGAACGATTCTGCAAACTGAGCCCTCTTTCATTTTATTTGTTGTCACTAGTACCAGGATATTTACTGACTAAGTTTTGAACAGGCAGATTTTCAGACGCCCCACAGTTCATTCTCATGCATCACCCCATCAGCTCTCTTCTGACCGTTATAACATCCAAACAGGGGATGGCAGTCAAGCTGAAGACTAGTGTGCCCCTCCCCCAGACACTCCACGTCAAAGTGCCACTAGGCACCCCCCCCCCTTTATCTACCCACATCCTCATTTTTCATTCTGCAGTAAATCTGACACACCACCTCTTCTGTCATCATGGCCCCTGCCTGCCATTTTGGTAAGTGACTATTCACGTGCCATTTTAATGCAATATTAAAATTCGCCCCTTCACATGTGCCATTCAAAAACTCAACTGGGGTGAAGCCAAATGAAGTTCACGTCAGTCTCTTTGGTATTCTGAAGGAGTCTCTGGCTTGGGAACAAAAACCTCAGCGGAGCACGTGACCGTGGGTAATGGCACGCGCTGCCCTTCTCGCGTCAGAGGAAGATCACACCCCGCAGTGGGGGCCTAGGGGCAAGCAGCCTAGAAGAATGTTTCACCCAGAGAGATAACCAATCAGATTCTAAAGGAGGTGGGTCCAAGCAAGTAGAGGAGGCAGGACCAACCAATCGGACGTCCTGGTCCAGCTTCCTCTACTTGCTTGGACCCACCTCCTTTAGAATCTGATTGGTTATCTCTCTGAATCATTATTGGTTCTGCCCTCGGGACATTTATGTGTAAATAAAATTCCCACAAGCCAAATCCCCCGGTCCAGTGGACACCTTGGCAACTCAGTGGCTGTAAGGGAAAACGAACACTGGACACAGCACACATCTCACAGTGACACAAAAAAGGATAAAGCACAATCAAATGAAATTAT